CGATTTGAGCTCCAGTTAAGAAATGGTCAGTTTTTATCAATAATTCGTAAATTATTGTTAAATGAATAATTCGATCCCCAATATTTGAAATCTAATGTTTTAAATCTGAATCTTAAATTTTTGTATTGAGTTATGCCTGATCTAATTCCTTTTATTTTTTATGTTAGTTGACGAGAACTAAGGACGATAATGCATCCAAGAAGAAGTTTAATAAAGTTGAGTTTAATTTTCAATTATGATTCAAGTATTTGATGTTGTGAATTTTGAATAACAAATTGTGAGTATCTGAAATTAAACAGATTAATTAAGCGATTATAAGATAAGAGCTTACCAAATAAGCTCATAAACTCTTTTTATACTAAAAAAAAGAAAATATGGTTAAATGTTTCAATATAAGTTATAGCTTACTTTCATAAGTTATTTTTAAGAACTTATTAAAATTATGTGAATAAAACTAGTTTGTGAGCATGTCTTAAACTGAATTTGTAAGCTTTGTTAAACAACTTGCCATGAGTTTATTCGGGTAGACAAATTGAGGTGATCGTTGAGATGATTCATGAGCAAATCCGAGTGCAGCATATGTGAATTGTGTTTGGTCATTTGTATGAATTTACTTTCTCCCTAGGTGAATATAAGAGTTTGTTTGTAAGGTGCCACACACTTATTTTCATATTTTTTGTTTTTATAACTCATATTTACAGTTTATACTATAATGAATGAGTTTCAGCTTATGAGAGTGTTTATATGGTGTTTGTACAACTCATGTGCAATATTTTATATTTAATGGTTATTTTTGACCTTATCTTATGATGATACACTTCTATATTTGTAAAAGCAATTTTGAAAAGAATAATTTTTCCTTACCTTGCCTCCGTGTTACATATCTTTTGTAGTAATCACTATTGTATGCCTATATCAAAAATGTGACACTCAGTGACCACAGGAAGTGTATGTATATAACTTGTGTTTTATGTAAAATCCCCACCGAAATGTATGTTGGTATCCGTTACTGACATCCATTCATCGAAACTGATGTTCTATTATAGACAATTTTAGATGATATTGACTCTCAGTAATCATGTCAGAATTTTACAAGATTGGAAAAGACTTAGATTTTTTTGTTATAAAATTGCTCCTATTGTTTTCAAAAAAGATAGCATAATTGCTCACACTAATAATTTTGAAAGGGCGTGTAAAAATTATGAGGTCATATTCATTTTGTCATTATAACTCTGAGTGTGTCAAATATTGGTTACTTTAAAAATGTATTTAATATATATGAATGTATGATATAATTAATTAATTCTTATTTTGATTATAAATACATTTAATAATGACATTATTATATTTAAAAACAAATTAAATGTATTAAAATAAATATATTTAACAACATAGTAAGAAATTACATTTAAAATCTTAAAGTCTTATATTTAAAATTAAATATATATTCAGATTTTAAATATATTAAGTAAGAAATTACATTTAAAATTTTAAATATATTTAATAATATAACTTTTAAACTTAATTTATTTAACAATATATTTAATATTTGTAATAACTACAGTAAGCATTAGCTTTCATTTTGAAAAGTGTCTGAAAGTAAATGTCAGAATAATGAGGTCAGTAGGTCAGAACATAATAATGAGCAGAGGTAGAAGGACTACTCTTTATGGCTTTATTTTAAGCTATTTTTTATTAATAATGATACAATTGTTGATAATAACATATAATTATTATTTTATTTTTATTTTTATTGATTTTTATTTGTAATTAAAAATTATATCTTTTTTTATTATTTCAATTTTAATGTAGTTTTTTTTAATAATTTTTTTAGTATGGTAGTTTATTCTTTGATTATTTCAATATCATAACATAAATATTAAATATATAATCTTTTGATTATGTTTTAGAAGATATAAGAACAACTTTAGTGCAGAGTGGTTAAATCAAAATTTTGTATAACTTACATTAGTAATAAAAAATTTGTATTATAGTAGAGTTGACATGGCATCTAAGTGAACTAAAATTTAGTTTTCATTATCTATATAGTTAACGTTAACTATGTGAAATATATTATAATATTATTAAATTTGTAAAAATTTTAATAATTATATTTATGTTTATTTAATGCATTATTTTTTAAAATTATAAGAACAAATTTTAAATTATTATATTTAAGATTATTTAAAGCATTAATTTTTGAGATTATAAAGATGATATAAAAGTTTGAAGTGCATCTAAATTTTTTTATGAAATTCTAATTAACCAATTAAAACCTCCCATAAAACACATGATCGGTGGAAATTTTTAGCCTTGAACTATGTAACTAGACATTACTTGCACTTGGATGTTATTGTGATTTATCCATTTGCAATGTCAAATATTGATTATGTTTTAATTATTAGTACTAAACATATTTTAATTTTATAAAAAAAATAACCATGAATTAAGTATTAAATTTAATTTTTAATAATTGTAAATGTAGTTTTTATTTCAATTTACGAATTATAAAAAAAATACAGTTTTTTACTCCATGGTTATAATTATTATTTATATATAGGAAAAGCACTTATTAAATAATAATAAATGTGTTTTTAAGTATCATAGTTCTTTTTAAATATTTATAAATTGTAAATAAAAAAGTATCTGCATTTTAAATTGTTGTATGCAATATTTTTCATTAAAATAAAGAAATTAAATTAGTTTAAATGCATATTAATAAAAAAATGAATACAATATTAATTAATGTATAATTATAATAGTTAGAAATGGAAAAATTATTTTTAAATTTAATTATAAAGAGGAAAGACTCTCAACAAAAATAAAATCATCCTTTTAAGCATTTTATACAATTTTATTATAGACTACTTTTAATTATATATATGACTAAGTTTACCTTTATATTATATAAATTTGAAAGTTTTATTATTAAAACATATTTAATCAATTTTACTTATTTATAATCACTAAAAATATTAATTATTTATTTTATTTTTTTATTTCAATAAAATTAATAATTTATTATATCAAACTGAATAATATTCAATGTTCGTACATGCAATTCACTTTCTATCTTACAGGTCATTATCAACATAATACAAAAAAAAAAAACATTGTTGATTAACATATTTTTATATAGGAAAAAGATATTATTGTTATAAAAGAGAAGAACTTTATTATTGATTTAAATATTTTTATAAATATTTTTTAAACAAAAATAAAATTGTTGATTCAAATATTTTTATATATGAGAATAACTTTACTATTGATTCAAATATTTTTATATTATAATTTGAAAATAAAATTAATATTTATATACAGGAAAAAAATACATCATTGATTAAAACATTTTTATATAGGAGAGAAAATGTTACGGTTATAAACGGGAATAATTTTACTATTAATTCAAATATTTATATAAATATTGTCAAAACAAAAATAATATTTTGATTCAAATATTTTTATATACGGGAATAAATTTATTATTGATTCAAATATATTTAAAAATATTGTCAAAACAAAATAATATTTTGATTCAAATATTTTTATATACGAGAATAACTTTACTATTGATTCAAATATTTTTATAAATAGTGTCAAAATAAAATTAATATTGATATATGCAAGAAATACGTTATTGATTAAAACATTTTTATATAGGGGAGAAAATGCTATTGTTATAAAAGGTATTGGTTCAAATATATTTATAAATAATATCAAAACAATATATATATATATATATATATATATATATATATATATATATATATATATATATATATATATATATATATATATATATATATATATATATATATATATATATATATATATATATATATATATATATATATATATATATATATATATATATATATATATATATATAAAAGTATTGTTGATTAAATTATTTTTATAAACAGAAACAAATATTATTGTTATAAACGAGATCAACTTTACTACTGATCCAAGAAAAAAATTAAAAAAGTTTATACAAATAAATTGACTATATATTTTAAAATTTTATTTTCTCAAAAAATAATTGTCTTATTTGTAAGAAAACTAAAACAACTTATTTATCCAATACATTTTTCAATAGTTTTTATTTTTAATCAATTATTCATAATATTTCAACTTAAATTTATTATTCTTAAGTTTTTTTTTTCTATTTTCAACTTTTAATTTTTACAACAGCCTACAAACAAATGTGCTCCAAAACCATATCTCTTTTAAAAATAATCACTTTTTTGGTTGAACAATTTAATTTTTATTATATTTTAAAAAAACGTGTGTGCCATACCAGTATTCGTGCGGATGCACGGTATTCCACTAGAATCACTGTGAATGTACGAGTATTATATTCTTTGTATAATTAAGGAAAATAAAATAAAATAAAATAAAGTTTGAATCCAAACTCAGACAAAATATATTTATTTATGTTACTAATATTTATTTATATAATTAAATAATATTTATAAATATTATGTTATAAGTTGATTTTTATAAAACTAAATGATTATATAAATATTTTTATTAATAATAAAAAAAATTAATATTTACATATAAATATACGGTTGATCCAAATATATATCTATCTATATATATATATAGAATAATTATATTTTTGCTATAAACATAAATAAAAAAGTATTTTTTTAAATTAATAAAAATTTTTGGTTAAATTATTTTACCTTTTTATTTATTTCATTCTTAATGATTTTTAAAACAAATGCGCATAAGTACCCATACGAATGTACGCGTATCCCACTAACTTATATCTAAAACGTTAATACTTATGTATGATTGGGCATGTGTAAGAGTGTGCGCGTGTGGTACATGTATACTTTCTCTGCTTATATAAGATTCCAAATTTTGTTCCAATATTTCCTCAACAAACGGCCTTGGCTTTTCTTTCATCTCATCTTTCAACTTATTTTCACTCTCTCTTTCTCTCTCTAGATCATACCAACATTTTTTTGTATTATTAACTAATTAATGCAATGCCAATACAATGCATAACAAGCATGCCTCAACAACTCCCAAACCAAGAACAAGAAAAAAAACCACTGGTTTTCGACGCATCACTTCTCAAAAACGAAACAAATCTCCCAACACAATTCATCTGGCCCGACCAAGAACAAGCCTCTTCAAATGTTCCTGAACTCGTCGTACCATTCATCGACCTGGGAGGCTTTCTCTCCGGCGATCCACTAGCCGCAATAGAAGCGTCAAAGCTTGTCGGTGAAGCGTGTCGAAAACATGGTTTTTTTCTTGTTGTTAATCATGGGATTGACAAAAAGTTAATCTCCGATGCTCATGCTTTCATGGATGAGTTCTTTGAGCTTCCTCTGCTTGAGAAACAGAGAGCTCAGAGAAAAACAGGGGAACACTGTGGTTATGCTAGTAGTTTTACTGGGAGATTCTCTTCTAAACTTCCATGGAAAGAGACACTGTCTTTTGAATTTTTGGCCGATGAAAATTCGCCAAATCTTGTTAGAGACTATTTGTGCAACACAATGGGCAATGAGTTTCAGCAATTTGGGTAATATAAATATCTCACTTTTTCTTCTCTTACATCTTTTTTGATGCTAAAACTTTTTAAAAGCATGTTTTGTAGATTCGAACCTGTGTCTCAAGGTATCAAATATCTATATTTTTTATTTGAAAAACATATATAAATAAAATAAAATAAGGTGTACTATAGAAAACAAATAAATTTATCAAAATTAAAAATTAAATTATTTTTTCTATATATAAATAATTTTAAAAATAATATAATAATTAAGCCATGTTTTATAATTTTTGCTAAATCATGTTCTTATTATATATCTATTTATTTACTTGTTTATGCAGGGAGGTTTATCAGAACTACTGCAAAGCAATGAGTAATCTTTCATTAGGAATAATGGAGCTTTTGGGAATGAGTCTTGGAGTTGGTAAAAGCTATTTTAGGGAATTTTTTGAAAAGAATAGTTCAATAATGAGGCTCAATTACTATCCTCCTTGTCAAAAACCTGAGCTCACTCTAGGCACTGGACCTCATTGTGATCCAACATCCTTGACTATTCTTCATCAGGATCAAGTTGGTGGGTTGCAAGTTTTTGTTGATAATCAATGGCATTCCATTACACCACATTTCAATGCTTTTGTTGTCAATATTGGTGATACATTCATGGTATGTTTGCTCTTTCATTTTATTCAAATTGCGTATCCATTATTTTTATATAGGGGTTGGAAGGTAGCATGTCCGTGCCCCGTTTAGTCCTTTTTTTGCAAAATTCTGCAGAAAATAGGACATGTAAAGTTAAGGGTATGAGTTTAAAACTTTGATCTGTCTACAAATAAATGAGGACAGAGCAACATGCGTGCTTTGCATCTCTAAAAATTTAAAGTTATGAATATCTTTTATTAATGTTCGCCTCCGAAAAAAATAAGAGGGAGATAACGTATTAGAAGATACATATCTAAAACTTTAATTTAATTTTAAAAAAACACAGATAAAACATATATATCAAATAGAAAAGAATCATTATGTCACCTGTACTTTTATCGTTGTTTAAAATAAAATAATGACAATTATTCGTCACAAAATTTAAAGGTTAGGGTTTTTTTCGCGTCAAAGAGAAAAAGACACATCATATAAAATATTTATATTTGAAGTGCATTTTTTTCATATACTAGAATTATTAGGTATTTGAGAGGACTCTGCCCAATTTTTAGATTCTCAATTTCTTGCCCAACTTTTTTTAACATGTGATGTTGCATGAGATTTTACTACTAAAAAACAAACAAGTAATTAGGTTGTTTTACAACCATATCATATTTTTGTTATGTTAAACCTAATTTGGTTTTTTGAATTGATTAGGCACTTTCAAATGGGAGATACAAGAGTTGCTTGCACAGAGCAGTGGTAAACAGTGAAAAGACAAGAAAATCTCTTGCTTTCTTTTTATGTCCCTTAAGTGATAAGGTGGTAACTCCACCATGTGAATTGGTGGACAATTACAACCCAAGAATCTACCCTGATTTCACATGGCCTATGTTGCTTGAGTTTACTCAAAAACACTATAGAGCTGATATCAAAACACTTGAAGCATTTGCCAACTGGATTCAACATAAAAGCACATGAAGAACATGAATATTGTTCTAAACAAAAATTGACACTCATGTGGAAATTATAAGAGAGGGTTAGTTTCTTCATGTTTTGTGTATGGTAATGGTAAGACTAGTGATGAATGAACACAATAGGGAAAAAAACTTGTAAGGTCATTCATGTAATTTTCATTTGATGGTATATTATATGAGCTATACTATTCCTACACCCCTATCCTACACCAAATACTTGCACCAAATATTGTTTATCGTATTTATACGGTAAACAGTATTTTTATTTTTTAATAAATAAAATAAAATATTTATAATACGTGAACTGTGCGAGAATAATGTGTGAATAGTGTCTGAACCATGCCTTTAAAATAGTGAAATAAAGTTGGTTAATGAAATGTAAAAAATTGGTTAGTAAAATGATGAATTTGGTTAATAAATGTCCAGATGTTAAAAATAATTTTTAATAATAAATCAAAATTGATTAATGAAATGTAAAAAATTGGTTAATAAAATTATGAAGTTGGTTAATACGGATCCAAATATTAGGAATAATTTTTAACAGTCAATTAAGTTGATTAATAAAATGTACAAAGTTGATTAATGAAATTATGAGGTTATTTAATCACACAATTTTATGTCAATATTATTTAATTTAAAAATTAAAAATATAAAAATAATATATATATTTTTTATTTAAAAAAATATTATTATAATATATTATTGTTCAAATGAATAGTAAAATATATTGTAGGTGTATGATTTTGGCGTAATAACAATTTTCATATTATATAGAAGAGATCAAAGCAACTTTTTCAAATGGAAAATGTAACTTTTTCAGATGTGGATGAGATAGTTGGCTAACGACATGTTAGCATTGCATCATATTATGTTCGGTTCTTGGACAGTTTGGTCCACTACATACACGATTGCATCTAAGTGATAAAACAAGGGGCCCTTAAGTCAGTTTGAGTCAAGTCATTTTTGTTACTGGATATTTTATAAAACAAAGGGAATAAAGGGGAAAATGAATTTGGGTTAAAGTCATGTGGAATAATTTTTAAATTAATAATTTTGAAAAAACTATCACATTTTACTTATTTTTACCAATTTATTTATTGAAATGTTTAATTAAAGATAGATGATAAAATAATATAAGAAGTTTTGTTGTTTTTTTCAAAAAGATTTAGAGGATTTCATTTATGATAATATATTGAATACAAATACGGATGAAAATAAACTGATAATTATTAACGCGTAAGATATTTTTAGTGTGAAGAGAAAGAGAGAATAAAAAAATAAGGATCGTTATTATTGAATGTGATTGTTATTATAAAACTGAATAAATATGAGAACGCATCATATGAGAATGTCATTTTTATGTGAGAACATGAAAATGAATCTGAATTATTAGATTTTAAATTAAATGATAAAGATTATAGTTTTTCTTCCCTCTTCTCCATTATTAAAATAAATGATGGAAGAGAGAGAAAAAAAATGACACATAATCTCCACCATTTATTTTAAAATATAATGGTTCAAATTCATTTTCATTTTCTCACATAAAAATGACATTCTCATATATATATATATATATATATATATATATATATATATATATATATATATATATATATATATATATATATATATATATATATATATATATATATATATATATATATATATATATATATATATATATATATATATATATATATATATATATATATATATATATATATATATATATATATATATATATATATATATATATATATATATATATATATATATATATATATATATATATGTTTGTGTGTTACTTGGATATTAAGTAATTAACATAACAAACTCTAACCCTAACTAACTTGGGCTTGAGCTATACAACTTGGATTATACTCTCAACACACCCCCTTATAATCCAAGTTAATAAACAATAATTAATCATAATCGATCTAAATTATTCCTAATTTATAGCTCAAAGTTAGGAATCTATCGATCTCCAATCCTTTGATGAAAATATTGGTCAATTGTGCTTCACTCGAGCAATTCCCCACTTCAAGTTCACCTTAGTTTACCTTCTCCATTAAAAAAAGATACCTAACCTCAATGTGCTTACCTTCTCCATTGGATTTTTGCAAGATTAATGGCTAACTTATCGATTTGCAGCACCAGAGGTTTCTTCACTTCGACCTCCATCTCTTCCAACACAGATCTGATCCAAAATACTTGACACACAATATAGGATCCTACTATATATTCAACCTCACATAATGATAATGCCACCATAGGTTGCTTTCTTGGGCACCATGAGATTGGGGCATCAAATATTTGAAAGAAATAACCAGTTGTTCTTCTTCGATCTTCATTAACTTCATACCAATCAACATCTAAATAGCAATTAACCATAACTTCTTTGCTTTCAGAGTCTCGTCAAAATAGAATTCCATAGTTTATCGATCCTTTTAAGTATCTCAAGATTCTTCTTGTAGCCTTCATGTGTGACACCCTAGATTCACTCATGTATTTGCTCACTAATCCGATTGAGAAACCTATATCAGATCGATTGCTGCAAACATATCTCATAGAACACAGATTGGTGTTTAATATTATCTCTATATTTTGATGATAACTCTAATGGAATTTTGTATTAAGAAAATATATACTCTAATTTTGTTCAAGTGTTTTGTGTTTCACATATTAAAATAAATATCATTATGGAAGCAAAATGCATCTGAACAGCAAGTTACGCAAAGCTTTGAAGCATCAGATGCAAGTCATCAGAAGACTCTGAGCGCTGCCAGAAGAAACTCTAAAGCAAAAGCTATAGAAGACTCTGAAGCAAAAGCTGCAGAAGCATCTGAAGCGTAGCTGAAGATTTTGTATGAAGAGTTTCAAGCATTGTTTAAGAAGACTCCGAATGTACTTTACGCTGCAAGTACAGAGGCTCTGATAAAATGTTATGCTCTGATCAAATCACTCACGCTAAAGCACTATAGCTGCAACTCTGATATCATTGAATATGATATGAAGAACAAGAAGCGCATCAGAGGATCTGATGTTGTTTACGTTTGAAAAGATGTCAGCACGTGAATAGACTTGATACTATTCTCAACGTCCTCTCCAACGGAACTATTCCTTATTTGTGATAGACACAAGGATTCGGGCAAAAGGCATTTCTCTGAACATTCTACTGAAGACAAAAGGCTACAACTACTCTATGTGCACAGTCTTCAAGCATTGAACTTTCAGCTCTATAAAAGGACGTCTTCTACATCTCTTTAAAATTGACGAAATTGAATCAATTGAAATTATTCTCAACTCTCATACAATCATTCAAAGCTGAAATTGTTTTATCTTTCGTTCTTAATACTTGTGTAAAAAATCACAGTTGTGATTAAAGCTTGTTAGAAGCAAACTCAAACACACTTCTTAGTTTACATTTACTTGTAAAGGTTCCTTAAGAAGACCAAGTTATGGTTAGTAGTTCTTGAGAAGACTAAGACAATTGTTCTTAGTGTTTGACACTATAATCAGTTTGAATATAGTGGATTAAGTCCTTGAGGAGAAAGGCAAATCACTCTTGATAGAGTGGACTGGATTAGTTGAGTTCAACGAACCAGGATAAAAATCATTGTGTTTTTATTGCCGTATTTATTTCTAAACCCTTATTCAACCCCCCCTTCTAAGTGTTTTTCTCACCTTCAGTTGGCATCAGAGCTCTGAATCTGTTAGTGCTCTCACTTCACCGTGAACAGAAAAGATCCAGTTGAGAAAACTCTTGATATATTTTGGTTGATACATTATGGCTGAAGCTTCAACATCCAATAACAACTGATATGAGGACAGAGATAGAATCAACACTAAACCCCCTATGTTTGATGGGGAGAAGTTTGACTACTGGAAATACAGGATTAAAAGCTTCTTTCTAGGATATGATGCTGACCTTTGGGATTTAGTCATTGATGGCTATGTTCACCCCACTGATGGGGATGGCAAAAAGATAGACAGAAAATCTATGACTGAAGCTCAGAAGAAAGAATTCAGGAATCATCATAAAGCAAGAACCATACTACTAAATGCTATATCTCATAGTGAGTATGATAAGATTACTAACAGAGAAACAGCATTTGGTATGTTTGAATCTTTGAAGATGACTCATGAAGGGAATTCCCACTTGGGTGTTGTTGTGTTTAAGGAACCTATTAGAACATTACTCACACCTGTTGACAAGTTGGAAGTTTTGTGTGAATCCATTGTTAACTTTGAATCGTTTGCTGAAAATGGGTATGATCTTCGTCTCATTGTTGATGCACAATGTTGGACCAAATTTTTTGATAGGCTGATGGGACCAGTTTATCCTTGTCTGGTGAAGGAATTCTGGATACATGCTTCTACTTGCCCTAAGTTCATAGTTTCTTATGTTCTGGGTAAAGAAATTGTTATAACTGAAGATCTTATAAGGAAACTCATAGGATATGAGGAAACTGATGGTGTTACCAATATGCCAGCTGGGCGTGTGAATATGTCTGATGTGTATAGAGAAGTTTGCTCATCTGGAGAAGCTTCTAACAAGGTTAAGGATCTGAAGCCAGTTTACAGGATCTGGGCTAAGATTTTCATGAGTTGCATTCATCATAGAAAATCCTCCAATTCTCCAGACTATGTTAACACTGATCAACTATACTTCATGTATTGTATGAGTCAGAGCACAAAGGTGGATTTGCCATATCTTCTATTTAATCATCTGTGGACACACGTTAAACAGTCAAGGGAAGAGGCCAGAACCAAACATCAGAAGTTGAGGAACTGGATTCCAATGGGAAGACTTATCTCAGACATTCTGACTGAGAATGGTCTTGTTGGTCATCTGGTAGAAGCTGGATTGAAGGAAGAGTTAGATTCTGCAGTAGGAAAACCTCTGAATGGGAAGAGTCTTCAGAGGATGAAAGTTGTAGAAGAAGTCACTTCTGCACCAAAGAAAATCAATTCTGAAGAGGTCACTCAAAGAAGGATTCCAGT